AAATCAATTAACAAACGGAGACGTAACAGTATATTTATACATTATTCCATTTAACGACCACGTTCTAGTAAATTCAGTACAATTACCAGTCATGACACAAAGGTAAAAAATATTTTTTGCAGAAGATAAAATATGCAATATAAACTAAAAAAAATATAATAACGACATATTTGACCGAACTGCATTACTCTGTGCTCGAACCTTACGATTCTATAATTTAAACTCTTAGAGCTTTTAAGCGATAAGTTTCAAGGCTTATAACGCTAGAATTATGGATTCGATACCCGTGAGATCCAAAACACAGAAAATCAACTGTATAGCGGCTACGGATCGGAAGGTCCAAGGTTCGAGCTGTTATATACCACTAAACATGCTCTGTACTTTCAGCCATTAGGGCACTATAACTGTAACAGGCAATCCCGTTGTGTGTGTGTAAGAGCAACAGCATAGGCGGAGAGTGCTGCTCTCCCTCTGGTCAGTAACTCTAAACTAACCTAGTTACGAAACTTATAAGGTCTCTGAGCTGGCTGTTAAGCCAACATGTCCTATAAAGTGCCGTTCAGGTTGAAAATACATAAGAAGATATGCCAGTGTATAATGTTGAGTTAAACTCACAATCAAATTATGATTAATTTTCGAAGGAATGAATTTTTTGTGTATCAACCTATATGAAAGTGTAAATACAATGGAGCAAAGTAGAAAAAATAATGTATTTATTTTTTCATCTTTGGGAGGCTTATGCTGCTAAATTCTCCATCTCCAAATGACACAACTGTGAATTATCTACATTAAGTTAGTTGACTAAAAATGGGACATTTTAATGGGAAATTATATTCGATTCTCTAATAAGTGATAGACTATTTAACAACGGTTTGTTGTTGTTGTTTTTTTTTTTTTTACGTGTCATATTTTTTAAATCACCCCATATTGTTTTAATGTCAAATGAAAAGGACAGAAATTTGACACTGCTGTGAAATTTAAGAGGTTTGAAATCGTTTATTTTTGAGAAAAGCTACATTGGGTTATCTGCTTTGTCCATCGCGGGGAATAGAACCCCGGATTTTAGTGTTGTTAGTGCGTAGACTTACCGCTGTCCCACCGTAGGACAAATTTTAAGAAGTCATAATTCTGTTGTATTTCGATGTTTAGAGAAAAACTAATGAAAAAAGGTTTTGGTGTTCATTTACGTAATATCAACGTGTAGTTCACCATGCTGGTTTACCTTCTTAATAATTCATCGAGTGGCAAGAAAGCTCTTGGATGTCGGTAAGGGACGAGAGGGGGAGTGGCTTGCTGGGGCTGAAGCTATCTAATAATGTACCTTAGCTTCTGCTATATCTCCTACACCCAACTAAAAGTTCGAAATGGTTGTTTTATCTGGAGACTTTGTCTGTACGCTTGAGTGGTAGCTGCGACACTGACTGACAGTAAAGGGGAGATTTACAAAGTAGGCCTATACATCCTAAGCGACGAGTGAAGGGTTGGCAAGCTGTGTTACTCCTACTCCCATGATTCGTTTCGAGACGACGAAGGTTTCAGAGCACAGCCTACCGGGGGCTATAGTTTAAACATGAGAAAGGTAATACATAAAATAATAATCGTACATACTTTAGATATATTCAAGGTATCTCAGTATTATAATAAATACATAAATTGTATTTTAAGTAATAAATATTACCATAA